AATCGGGCAAGATGGCCGAGCGGTCTAAGGCGCATGGTTCAGGTTACCTGATCAATTGAAGCTTCATCACGAAGTATCATTCCATGTCTCGAAAGGGGCGTGGGTTCGAATCCCACTCTTGTCATATCTTTTTTTTTTCCTTTCTACTACTATTCTCCCTATCTTCTCATTATACTCGATCTTATTTTTGTCTCGGACGATTCCGTTACGCCATTGTCCACGATACGAACATTCCTCACACTCCGCCACGTTGGCTCCGCCATGACCACGACTCCCGTCTGACACCGTCGTCCACCTTCCAGGCTTACAAGTTGCAACCTCCTACACTGCACACAGCAACCGATTGATCATATACCGAGTACTGGAGACTCAGAAACTATGCCGTCACCGCCGGCGTCGCCGAAACGACGGCCTCGTGCCTGGGCGCTCCGCTGCGAACGCCTCTGCTGTACCATGGCCTCGTACTTCCCGCTGGCGTTTGTGTACAGTTTGACCACTTGGGCGGCCTATGTCGAGGCGGGGGTCGGATTGAAAACCCGGGGGACATGGATTGGTACTTCGTTGTTCCGTTCTGTTAAGCTTGCAACAGGCTCCCCAAGTTTTTTTTTATGCTGATAGAATAGGTCTTCCTAGTACCTTTGCCGGCGTCGTCCTCTACCTCCTGCTGAACGCCTCCTACAGCGTTGCGGTCTTCACCGATCCCGGGTCCCCTGCGAATCCACGCTCGAACACCTCGCGACATGAATATAGCGCGTTACCCGTGACGGAGATGCCGGCATCGACGGCGTACACGGCGTACACGGTCAACTCGGCGGGCGGGTCGCGGTTCTGCAAGAAATGCCAGTGTCCGAAACCCGACCGGGCGCACCACTGCTCGACGTGCAAACGGTGCGTGCTGAAGATGGACCATCACTGTCCCTGGCTGGCGACGTGTGTCGGGCTGCACAACTACAAGGCGTTTTTGTTGTTTCTCATCTACACCTCTGTGTTTTGCTGGGTGTGTTTCTTCGTCTCCGCAGGCTGGATCTGGCACGAGGTGTTTGGGCCCGACGACTCCGGCACTCTCGACAACTTTCTGCCCATTGGCGTTGTCTTGCTGTCCATTCTCAGCGGTATTATCGGGCTTGTTCTCTCGGGGTTCACAGTCTGGCATATCAGCCTTGCCCTGCGGGGCATGACTACTATCGAGTGTCTGGAAAAGACGCGGTACGTCTCGCCGCTGCGCAAGGCGCTGAACAGCCATCGCTTCGATACCTCGCACGGCAACCATAATAATCCTGCCGAGCAGGAGGGTCTCGCCCACCGACTACAGGAGTACGGCAACCAGATTCTAGACGCGCACGCCAACGCTATTCCCGGCGTGACCCGCGCGGAGGAAGGCGAGGAGCGCGCGTCGCCCGTGCCGACCAGCAACCCTTCAACGCTCTCACCTGCCCAGCAGGCCCTGTCACGCTCGTACGTCGACCTCGAGCGCCAGCGCGAGACCGACCGGTACCACGACTACCTGGAGGAACAGGACAACGAGAAGCTACCGAGCGCCTTTGATCTGGGCTGGCGAGGTAACCTGGCCCACCTGTTCGGCCCACGCCCGCTGCTCTGGTGGCTGCCTGTGTGCACGACCACAGGCGACGGCTGGCACTGGGAAGCCAGCCGCCGGTTCCTCGAGGCCCGCGAGCAGATCCGGCGGAACCGCGAGCAGGAATTGGCCTCTGAGCGCGAGTATTACCGTGATCTGTACCAACGCAATCTGAACAACAGTCGCAGCTGGGGCAGCAACCATAGCCGCAACAGCAGTAGCAACAATAACAACAACAACAACCACCAGTCCGTGGCGGTGGGTATCCCCGGCCGCACGCTGGATGTCTCGAGCGATCCGGAACGCCCAGCTACGGGCGTCTCCATGAAAACGTTACGACCCATGTCGCCGCGCCCGCGGCCGGGAGAGAGCGACTACTCGGACAACGATGAGGAGTTCGAACAGACCGAGCACAGCGCGGCGCGTATTCAAGGGTCTGATGAATGGCGTGATTGGGATTAGCATGCATCTGGCGCTTCTTTTTTGATTTTTATTTTTTCAGCCTTTTCCTCTTGCTTGTTTTGTTTGTGATCTGTATATAATAGAATATTGGCTTATTTATGAAGACATGTATAGCTGACTATATTTTATAGTGGGCACTAGAATCTATCTTAGTGTATTACCAATTGACCTTTCATGCTTATACTATTTAAAACTGGTTGTCTATATAGAGTACATATATAAAAGTAGCTATTAATTAGTGAGTAGCTTGGCCTTGCTAAGCTCTATCAGTGAACCACGTCAACCACACCAACCACACCTTATCTCCAACCACCAACTACTACTTGACTTAATCTTAACAAACCAAATCACCAAGTAGAAAAAAAGAAGAAAAAAAGATGCCGTCCTCGACGCGCCGCCTCATGAAAGAAGCCGCCGAGCTTTCGAACTCGCCCTCCCCGCACTTCCACGCCCACCCGGTCTCCGACTCGAACCTCTTCGACTGGCACTTCACCCTTGCCGGCCCGCCCTCGCCATCCCCCTACGCCCAGGGAATCTACCACGGGCGCATCGTCTTACCAGCCGCATACCCACTGCGCCCTCCCTCGTTTCGATTCCTGACCCCCTCCGGCCGGTTCGAAGTGAACCGCGAGATCTGCCTGAGCATCTCCGGCCACCACGAAGAAACATGGCAGCCTGCGTGGGGGATCCGGACGGCGCTGCTGGCCATCCGGACGTTCATGGACGGGGACGCCAAGGGGCAAGTCGGCGGACTGGATGTGTCGGAGGAAGTCAGGCGCGCCTGGGCGGAACAGAGTCGCGCCTGGTGCTGCGAGAGCTGTGGGCGGTCCAACGCGGAGATCCTACGCGAACAGGCGGAAGTTTGCCAGGCGAAGGGAATCAGTGGGGACGGCGACGAGAAGGATGAGGAGAATGTTAAGGAGCTTGCCGGGTTGAAGGTCGCGTATAGGGATGAACTGGGGGTGGGAAAGTCACAACAACCATCACAACAACAGACGGGCTCAGAAGAGACACAAATCGAATCAACTGAATCGAGTCTTGGGACAAATAGTGTACAGCACCAGGTACAGCAACCACTACAACAACCAGTACAGCAACCAGTGCATCCACCACTGCAACAACCAGTACAGCAACAGGTACAGAGTCAACCGCAGACGCAAACCACACAACGGCAAACTCCCTGGCTGGACAGAGCCATCGTTGGTGTCGTTATCGCCCTCGTGCTGATGATTCTCCGGCGGGTTTCGAATCTAGAGGACATCTGAGCAGACAGATATACATCCCCCCCTTTTTTTCCATCTTCTTTTCACATGCTGGCCATATATCTATTCCAGGTTAGAACTAGATAGCACAAGCTAAATCAAGAACCACCATTCATTGACTTCTTCATTGATTGCCTAAGAAACTACATCAACTTAACTAGTTCCTAGAAGCATCCACCACCATTCCTGCACCACCCAGCCTGTATGTTCATCCACCTCCACCGTCTGACCCTGCACGCTCACGCTCACGCTCTCGCTCACGCTCACGCTCTCGCTCTCGCTCTCGACTCGAGCGACCCCCACGGCAGCCAACCACTCGAGGAGCAAGCGTACTTCCCACGCCCCGGCGCTGGGGTGAATCATCCGCGCAATCCCTGCGGCGCTGATCCCCGGCCGGACCGCCACGCAGCCCACCACGGCGGCCACGACCAGGTCCCAGAGCACCTGGACAAACTGGCCATGGATGTCGAACCAGATCGGGATGCGTTTCGGCCCGTCGTCAGATGCAGGCGGTTTTTCAGGAAACGCCGGTGGGGGGGGGATGGTAGACGCCCGCTCCCGGATCGGGTTTCCAAACACGTACTTCCCCCGCTCCGGGTGCACGTCCACGGCAAAGCGCAGCTTCTCCTTGTCCATCTGCCGGGTCAGGTACCCGCCATCTGTGAGGCCGTGGCGGTCTCGCGGCGGATCCCGTGGCCGCAGTGTGACCCGCCCCTCTGCTGCGAGGTTGACCACAGCCAGGACGTCGCCGTCCTCGGCGTTGTAGCCAATCTCGAACACTCCCTGCGACCGCAGAGCGGGATCCAGCACACTGGTTTTGAAGTGCGCCGCGCGCCGCAGCTGCGTGCTATCGATCGCCCGCTTCCGGCCCAGCGTGACCAAGAAGTGGTCCGTGAGGTCGTAGTTCCGCCCCGGTGTGATTCTCCCACGGTTACCCATCGAGATGATCCGCTCCGTCACGAGGGACTGCATTGCCTGCGAGATGAGCAGCTCGTCGAACTGCCCCAATGCCCGCCGCGCGTCGGCAGGGTTGTACGTCTCCTCCGGCGCCGTCACGTTGGCCCGAACCCACGTCTTGGCCACCTCTAGACGCGACAGTTCGGCCCTGCGTTGCGACAGCGAGGTTCGTGAAGCATCTCCACCTGCTAGCAGAATGGAAAACGGTGTGCTGGTTACAAGGTTGCGTTTCTTGCTGAGGGTCATCGAGCTGTTCACCTGGTAGATCTCATCGACTGGAGGGATGGCTTCTTCTCGCAGTTCGAACATGCTGTCAAACTGCTCGCGTGTGGCAGGCAGATCGGGAAGCTTTTCGGATGATGTAGGTATATCGAGCTGGGTGATGGCCCAATCCACCACAGTCTCCCAGTCGTACCCGTCCAGGTTCTCATAATCGATGCGCGGGACCTGATCCTTCTCGTAGGCCTCGATGAACCGCTCTTGGAAATCACTCTGCATCTTGACAACCTGTAGTCGACTCTTGTTCAGAATGACCCGTCCCCGTTCCTGAACAAACTGAGTATCGTAGCCTGGCAACGCTCGAGCTACCAGATTCCAGTCAATGTTCTTGCCTTCGATCCCCCCCGCCAGTGTCCGTATAGCGGCAATAGCAGTCATCAGTCTCTGAACAAACGATTCGGACAAATGGCGGGACATGCGGCTTCGGCGCACGGATGAACGAGGCGCGGAGATGGGTGATGGTGTCTCGGCGGCCAACGACGCATTCAGCCTGTTCAGGCGACGGTTTGGTGTACGCGCAGCAGAAACACGATTACGTCGCTTCCAAGACCCGTCTGGCACCTCCGGTAACCCATCATCATCATCATAATCCTCCTCCTCCTCCCCCTCTTCTTCCCTATCTTCATCCGATAAAACACTGTCATCGTATCGAGCAGTAGGCGAAGATGGGCGAGGTGCAAGCCGGCGAGATCTGGGCCGAATGGCCCGGGCAGAGGGTTCAAGGAACTCTGTAGGATTGAATTGAATGACTCCTTCAATGGGAACAGTCTCGAACGAGTCTCGAACCGTCTGGTTGATATACCGCAGTCCCGAGCCTTTCCGCTGCAGCAGATCTTCATTCTGTAGTTCCCACCGTGAAATGACATCGGTCTCTTGAAAGAATTGGCTTGATCTTGGATCTGGCCTGTCTGAATAATCAGGAGCCCGTCTTGTAACATTGGTTAACAGATCATCAAGAGAGTCCGGCAACTTGGTGGCGACTTTCGCCTCTCCCCTCCAGGCCAGTTTGCGGACCGCTGCAAGGCCAGCGTTTGTTGAAAAGGTCCCAGTATTAGCGTGGAACACTTGTCTTGGGTTCATGAGCATAGCATATGGTGCCATGGTCGATATAGCCTTCCAGCCACGTCTCATCCGGCCCATCACGGCGCGAGAACCGTCGGTAAGCAGGCCGGAAAGCATGTGGCTTCGACGTCTCTGGTATGGGCGCTTCTCGGTAGCTCGCAGGGGCCTCTGAATTGAAGTCAGGCTGTCCAACGATAACGGAGGATGTCCTGCCTGCGGGGGTGGCGGAAAGACGCTCATCAACCGTACGACGCCAGATTTACTCGCTCGGCGGCGTTCTCCCATGGTCTCAGACGGCGCTAGACTCTGTAACAGCCTCCGCTGAATATTGCGGCCTTTCCTCCTCTCTTTCGCTAGAATGTATGCCGGCTTGTGATGCAGTTGGACAGTTATACCAGCCTCAACCGGTAGGCTGGGAACGGGTTTGGAGATATCTCGAGCGATAGCCCCCTTGCCCTTTGTGAGCTCGGGATTGATCTCCGTATTTTCTGGAAAATAGAACTTGGATTCCTCCGCTAGTATCGCTTTCTGCATGTTCATCACGAGGGGATCATCGGGCGCAAGGTCGGGCTTGGTGATGATGCTTTTTGTCACCATGACTCCCTTGCTATCTTTGCCGCTGAAAAAGAGCTGACGAAGTTTGCCTGCATCAACCATTTGTTTGACAACCGTCTTCAAAGTCCGTAGATCTGGCTTCTCTTTGTTCTTCATCTTCAACCATGCAGTTGTGAATGGGTACCAGAGCTCAGTCCCCATTGGAAAGGCCCCCCCAGCTCTCTCCACAATTTCCATGACAATCTTCTTTCGAAGAACAGCCACCGAACCCCTTTTCTCTCCCCTGCTATGCCTGAACACGTCCGAGACTTTCGAGCTCTCCCTAACGTCGGCGGTCTGCTCTCTGTCAAAGGAAACAGGTGTTCCAGGGATGCTTGATAAGGGGCCTTGAATGGCAGTTTCAGTCGTAGATGTAGGGATAATGCCCTCATCTACTGTCATCTCGGCTTTCAGAATTGGCTCAGGTTGAATAATTGGTTCTGTAGAGACATGTTCTGTCGATTGAATAACAGAGTAATCATCGCCCTGTATTTGCTCCAGGACAGAAGAGGGACCTGCTTCCACGCGGCGTTGCTTTTTCGGTGGTGCTTCTGAAATCCCTTCTGACTCTTGTACCGATGGAGCTGGTGTATCTACATCTTCAAGACCGGGGGCCTTTGGCATACGCCTCTTGCGTTTGGCTCGGTCACTGGGTGGTAACAATGGGGTATCACCGATCCTTTCATTGACACTTCTATCCGCAGTATCATCCGGCAAAATCCCGATTTGCTGGGTCGTAGTGATGTCTGTGCGCTTGTCGAGACAAGGTTGCTTTGTCTTCTGTTTCCTGCCTTGGCGAGGCCGGGTATGAGTTTCTTGAACGGCACGCTCCTCTTCCGAGTCGCGCCCTTCATGCTGTCGCTTGAGCGCCTGTGATGAAGAAGGAAGATCCGTGGCTTCTGGGTGGGGCATCTCTCGCCCCTGGTCATCAGTGGCCGGTGTGCCGGCATCTTGCATCTCAATATCATCGCTCGGAGCCGATTCTCGTAAAACAGAATCTGACCTTGCCTCGACAAACCAAGGCAGAGTATTGAGCTGTGGGGTCTTGAACACAGCGATCCGACTGATCCTTGGCCGTCCTCGAGCCTCCCCTACTGGCCTGCGTCGACCACGTGCTGTGACGTAGACTCCAGGTCTTGGACGGTCAATCAACAGGACACTATATTCCGTATAGCTTTCGTTCAGACCCAGAGCCTCAAGTTTCTCCTTTTCGGTCATTCCTTTGAAGCGATCTGGATCATTCTTTGGTTTCTTGACACGTTTGATTACTGGGCGATCTTCGTGACCTGCCTCATCAAGGTCTAGTTCTTCTTGACCCTCCCGAGCACTGCTTTGTGGACGGCCTTGACTAACTGCTTTTTGGTGACCAAGCTGAAGCTCTAACAGCGACGTTAGAAGATGCACCCGCAGCTCTGCAAAGAAAAGTTCTAGGGGCCGTGTACTCACCGTAACTTCCATCTCGCAAACGAACTGCAAGGGGATCACTACTAGATTGGATATAATCTGCAGGCTGGCACACCTGGATGAGTTCACGTAATGTGGCGTTCCCATTTCTGAGCAAATTAGCGGCTGGAGGAACCAAAGGAAGTCCATTTTCATCCAGCTGAGGTACAGCATCGACGGGCGGTATCTGTCTTGGATCGATCTTTGAGTCTTTCGGGACGAACTCAACAGCCTCCCAGGACGCATCCCCGGAATCAACGAGTTTCTTGAAATTTCTGGCGGAATAGTGAACGTAATGAAAGACAGTTCGTTTCTGAGCAGTGTCTCTCACGAGCGCCAGATGGCGGAGATGTGGTGGTTGGGAAAGTTGCCAGCATTCGACCAGTCGGTTCAATGCATTTTCTAGCGGACGGCGGAAGAAACCACCAAAACAGGTCTGGATGGTATTCTGAAAGGGATATCCATAGTAAGACGGTAGCTCATACTGGCGGCCGAGATCGGATTGTGAACTTACATGGTTGGTCCTGCCCGAAGTTCCTGCGCTGTCGATGATATCAAAGATCAAATTGTGCATGTTGCGATCTGGTGTCCAGATTGGTAATGTTCGACCTTCATCCTGCAGCATTTCTTGTTTAACAACACCGACGGCTCTGTCATTTCCCAGCGTAGACGCATCTTTCGCATTGCCTTCCGGCTCCAGGTCATCGTCTAGTTCCATGCTGGCATTGTCCTCCTGTCCCAGGTTGTCGAACAACGTTTTGCTGTCATCATTAAACAGTTCCATGTCCCTCTTCGTCGGTTCCCGGATGAGCATGACGCAAGAATATAAAGATTTCACACTGTCCGAGTACTGCGACATGGCCTTGACACGTTTGAGCACGCCGATGCGTTCGAACTTTCGAAGCGCACGGGAGAGAATCCTCCATCGCCAACGGTCAGCGAAGCCGAGGACTCGCTTGAGATCGTCTCGCGAGATGATCCGATACTCCTTTAGTGTCTCAAACAACTTGTCCATGAAGACTTCGAAGTCGATGATGTCGTCCGCTCCATGGTAGGCGTTGATCCCCCCCCGATCGGCGGGAGTCTGGGTGGACGAAAAGGCGGGTTTGTCCTGAACGAATTTCTGAAGGGTGCAGAGGCTAGTGCGGGATGCTTTGATCTGAATCGCGCGCTTCTCGATGTAGCCTTTCTGCTTCAGCATGTCGGTGCGCTTCGGCACCGAGCGCTTGTCCTGACCACTCAGCCGCACCAGCTCCGTCTGCACTATCCCGTGCGCTTTCCGAGACGCGATGATGGACAGGAGGGCAAATTCAGTCGGGAGCACCTTTGTCTCGTCGGGCTCATGGCCAGTGATTGCTAGCCAGGTCCGTTCCTTGGACACGAAGACCCGAAGAGGCTGGCCGGCGAGGGGCACTTCCTTCGTCTCATCATCGCCATCCAGCGAGAGTCGTTCCGCTTCTGCAAGGCTCAGATGATTACCCTCCTTGTCCTTACCCACGGAGACCTCAGGGTTCTGCGTTAGCCAGCGCCAGACCCTCTCCTGGAACGGACGGTCCACACGCTGGCTGCGGCCTCCATCTGCAGTCTGGTCTCTGCTGATTCTGCTATAGAAGGCATCAATAGACGCCAGAATATCACCGGGCGAAGCTCCTGGTCTAGATGTTAGCGAGGTCTAGACGACAGCCACCAATTCAGTTGGACAGGTATCAAAAAGACAGTAGGAAGATGAGGCCGTTGAGTGGGATGCATGTGACATGCTGCAGGTCGGGCTTAGCGGCCAACAGGAAAAACGGAAGGCACGCAGAGCATCCATATTTATTCACTCCATCAAAAATACACACGCATACATATACATACCTTGGTCGCCACAGAGGGCTATATCTGCCAGGAGATAGTCAATCAGATCGCGGAAACTCGGAGCCATAGCTGTCCATGATCGCCAGGCAGGCTCTGTATGTTTCTCGCGAGTCTGTTGTTCGTCGTCGGATATTAATTTTTTTTTTGTCGAGCAGGTGAGGCGATTCGAACCTGTGACGATCGAAAGCGGCGGGATCTGCAAATTGAAATTCCGGAGGATGTCACGTGATTAAATACGTAGTACCGTGTACGCCGCCGGTACGGTACTGTACGGAGTAGGACTTGGACCTTACTCCGTACACAATAACTAAACAACTACTACGGAGTACAAACTACCTAGTACCGGATAAACGCTTCAATACTTACTTGGATAAATTAGAATCCAAAAGCCAAGTTTATACAGAAGAATGACAAGCTGGTCTGCTATACTCCGTATTTATGCACAGTCATAGACTAATTCATGACGAAGACGTCATCTTGCTGAGTCAGCGGCCTGTAGTTATGCTGTCGGAGTTGGCAGGGCCGATTCACCGACCAGTTACAGTTACTAACTTGGTTAGGCCAAGGCCCTTTGGGAATGATGACATCAAACGGCCTCGTACGTCAGGCGCCAATCACGCTGGCTTCACAGCCTCAGCGTAAAGGACCAAAATATCCTGTCCGCTCTTCCTGTTGCCTCTTTGCTTCTATTTCACCCGAAACCATCGTCGACTGCCACCTCCCCATCTGCTGTTCTTATAAAGGAGCTATTGCCCCCAGCTCCTTGTCGCACTTAGCAACTCTCTCGCCGCGGTCGCACCCGTCATGCACTGTTCTATCTGACCTGCTTCTCCTTACGACAACCCGCCACCACCCGCCGCTGCGATGGAAGAAGGCACGACACCAGCGAACTCGCTAGAGCCTCCTCCGTTGCCATATACGCTGCGTACTCGGAAGAGAGCGATTGCGTTTTTCTGGACCCTCTTCGTGATCGACACTTGCGCCCAGCCGGTGGCGCTCTACTTTGGACTATGGTACGGCACGAATCTCTCGCACAACATGGGTATGTGTTGTCTTTTCTTCCAAGGGCTTTGAGGAATGATTCATTGACACATTATTTCTATTCGATAGTTTTTACCATTGTCACCGCCGCGTTGGGAGGTATATCGGTTTTTGAGTACTTCTACCGGCTCTACAATCTATTCCGGAAAGATTCACGAGCGCGACCGCTGAACGCAAAGAAATCATGGGTGCGTCCTATATATATATAAATACCGATCTGTTTGCTGACGGAAATTTTAGTTGGATTTTTTCCATATTAACTTCACGCTGGTATGGCTGATTCTGGCGGTCGAGCTCATCGTGTAAGTGTAGACAGTCAAGCAGAAATCTCAATCGCAATGCTGACCATTATCAACAGTGGAACCGTTCAACCAGAGCCATATGTTCGTCTCGTCGCCATGGTGCTTCCCTCCGTGATGTTCTATTTTGGCTTCGTCCACCTGTCGCTAGATGTCCTTCGAATGATGGGGTTCAAGGCCCCTTTTCGTATCTCATCAACCCCCAAAGGCTCCGTAATGCCAACCGCGCTCTATGTCCTCATCGAAGACGTGGTCGCCGTTGACGGTGGCGGTGGCCAGATGTATCGATACGCCTTGCGCACCCGATATCTCTCCAGTCCGTACTTCCGTCGAATGCTCTTTGAGATGAATTGTTTCTGGGCCGGGGGGTCTATCATCTGGGCCGGTGCCATCACAGCCATCGTCTTCACCACCCCAGAGCCCGTTGCCTACACTGTAAGTTTAAACCTTCGGAGCGTTCTATGCCAGAGTCAATCGCTGATGCTTTCTTTTAGCTGGGCTGGTGCCTCCCCTTTGTCTGGGCGGCATTATGGACCATCATCACCATCCCATGGGTTCAAAGCGACCTCCGCCGAGAGAAGAAGGCCTGGCGAGAAAACAGAGGTCAACTGGGTATCCCCTTCACGGACGACATCGACGCCCCCCACGGCCGCACTCGGCTGGGATCCGTCCAGGATCGTCTGCCACAATTGTTTCCGTGGACCCGTGAGAAGGCGAGCACCCCGTCCACGCCAGAGCCATCCTCGCCTGAAACCCACCCCGAGATTCCTATACAGAACAGTACTTGCGAAGCTGACCCTCAAGCTGCGTGAAAAGTTGATTTCTTGTATTATATTCAGCTCTTGCCAAGAGGGCCTTTTCTCTTCTTCTTCATCTTCCCCCCCCATTTACCAAGTCCTTTGAATATTCTTTCTGTTTAGTGCATTTTGGTTATCAGGTCACGGAGTTGAATGTTGGTTATTCCTGTCGTTTCATTCTATATACCCCTCTCGAATGTCTCCCCTACAATCTATCAACATAGTGCAATAATAGAACGAGCAGGCTCGATTAGTGATTGACTATCTTAATGAATCTTTCCATTCAAGTCCAATTCTTATCGCCCTTTATATACGCTACAACTGAACCAGACATACAAATGCATTAATTATATACCACCCCCAATACCCCGAACCAAAAGCGTATGCTATGCTTGGTGCCTAATGCTAGATCCATCCCCCCCTTTATACACCACTGAGGTAATGTAGTGAGTCTCCGCCCCTATTTATCTATCAACGCCTAATGCAATATGAAAAGGGTAACAAGAAGAAGAAGAAGAAGAAGAAGAAGAAGAAGAAGAAGGGTTAAAACTCGATAATGGAGAGAAGGCAGGTAGAATGGGGAAAAAAAGAGAAGAGACAGGGAATCAATTAAAGGTGGGATAAAAAGAAAAAAAGAAAATAAAGGAACAAATAATACAACTGCGAATACAATGCAAGAAAAGAAAAACAGGCTTTATAATAATGTTCAAGTCCCGGGCTGTCATGGATCATGGTATGATGGCTGGAAGGAAGGGGGAATAAAGTGATTAGGTTATAAGTTCCACTGTACAGGTAACAGTGGTATACTCAATATAGACGACAGCCGTATGGAGGATTCGGGGGCATGATTAGCTCTTCCGCAGTAATTTTCGCCCAAGACTGCGGATCGTCTTCTTGTTACTGGTACATGTTAGAACACAAACTCTCTTTCGGACGCTCGCAATCAATGATGACTTACCTCTCATCAACCTCGTTTCCGTTCCAACCCGCCTCGATAACCGTCACGGTTTGTCCGGAAGTCATAGGTCTGATGGGGGGGTTGATCAGTCGGCGAGATTGCTGAACGAGTTGGGTTAGTAAGGAGACACATAGTCAAGAGAGAGAGAGAAACAAACCTCCCAACGAGAGTCCACGTCCACTTCACTCATCGAGTGGGAATCCGAGATGAAGATACTTGGATCATGAAGAGAACTGTCCCTGCCCGAGTTGAAGGAGTTGGACCGCGCAAGCGGCGACGCATGAGACTGGAAAGACCGGCGCGATGGAACTTCGGAGTGCTCGCTGGTGGAGTCCAGGCTGGCGAGGCTGTGGGCATGCTCAGAGCCGCTGCCGTTGGGCGTGCTGTCCGAGTTCAGCAGCATATGCGAGGAAGAAGCCAGTTCGCGCTGGCGTTTCAGCTGCTGCTTGGAAGGCCGGTGGTGTGAGAACTTGTTGCCCAGGATTGCGGGAGCGTGGGAGATGAGAGCCTTGGTCACGTCTTTCTTCAGCCGCAGGGCAAGGTCCAGGTTGGACCACGTCTTGTTGCGATATTCGAGGACGGGCAGCCGGAAGACAAAATCGTGCAGGTCCTCTATGTTATGCTCGCCTTTGCCCTTGTAGCTTAGACAGAGCACGACGTCGTTCACCTTGACGTGCGCGAGGGTCATATAGTTCGAGGCGCGAGACATCATCTGCGATAGGTCGTCGGCGGGCTCTTTGGACTTGGTATTCCGTCTGGACAGAGTAAACTTCCTGCCCCTTTCATCGCTAGAGGGACCTGGGGCAAGAGATTTCTCGGTGCCTTGCCTGGTCAGCATGCGGAGGCTGTCGACCGATCGCTTCTTCGACAACGCCCCATTGCTCGTCGACGGACGGGTCGGCTGGTGCATCGATTCTGATACCCCCAACCGGCTGCCATTGGTGGGTTCCCTGTGCAACGGTGTCAAAGCGAGACCCTTGAGATGGGTAGAAGAATGAAGAAGCTGTTGCTGTGACGACTGTTTCTCGTCAGATAACGATAGGGTAGGCTGGAGCCGGAGCTCGATGGATCCCGGTCCGTTGAAAGAATCCAAGTCCTCGCCGGATGCTTCGTCTTGAGCAGAAGCAGCAGCAGTCATGGTTTGGGTATGGCTCAGGCCGTCATCATCGTCCGATTCGTCGTCATCGCCAATCGGCTTCATGTTCTTGATCATCAGAGGCGAAAAGCCTCCGTTCTCAAAGGCGTTGGAACCCACCCCGGGGAAGATGTACTCGAAGAGCTTGTTGCCCAGATCACGCTCGAGTTGGACTTTGAGCGGGAACAGGGAGATCTCGAAATCATCCAGGACGGGGATTCCCGCTACCGCCTCCAGCATGTGCCATTTGACTCGCAGCATGTAATCGTCCGGTCCGGCGAAGCTGCGTGCTTGATCCAAGTAGGGCACGATGATCTGCGGGTAGATGGCGTCGGCGAGTAGATTGAGACCATAAAGGCGCTCGATCGCGACCAGGTTGTGGTTGGATCCGTCGCTGTTATCCGTGCGCTCGTACTCGGCATTCCGCAGTTGGAACTCAACCAACGGTTGCGACTCGTCCTTCATCAGATGCCAGACAACCTCCGACGCCGAGATGTTCCATCGGAGAATGCCGTTGTCCTTGGACATCTTGGGGTCGACGCGTCGTTGCGAGGTCGTGATGGCCTTCATCATGAAGAACAGTTCATCTTCGCACTGGGTGAGGTCGTTCTCCAGCGCCAGGCGGTCTTCCCACCCTTGCTTGTCGAGGTGCCTGGCATGGATCTGGAAGTGCTCCTTGATCTCTTTGAGCCGTCGGATGCGGGTCTGCAGCTTGAAGACCATCTCCGGGGCGCCGCGCAGGTCGCTAAAGTCCGAGGTAAGCATGATCTTCTCCAGGCGCTCGTTGCGCACTTTCTCGAGCGGCTCGCTGTACAGGAGCAAGTCCAGGACGATGATGTAGAGCGAGTAGTACTCGGCCGAATCGCAGATGGCCCGGAAGTGCGGGAAATCGACGCTGATCTGGTCCATCCGGGCCTCCTGGCAGTCATGACCATCCGGTTGATCCGGGTGGCCCCGGGCCACTTCTTCATTGTACTTCAGACGAAGATTGTTGTACTTGTCGTACCGCAGGCTTGCAGAGGTCTTTTGAATGATGCGCGAGAAGCCAAACGGGTTCAGCTCGAAATCGAACATGGCCTCCAGGGTCACCCACGGCGGCCATGCCGACCCGGGGGCGTTGCCGTACTTGTTTCCCGCGTAGAACTGCAGGTGGGCCATGAGGTTCTTCTGCGTGGCAACGAAGAACTGGGCGCCGTCCATGTCCAACGAGAAGCGGCGCTGAATCAGGCCGCTGACGTCGTCGGACACGCGTTCCTTGTCCATGATGGAGACGACCTTCAGCTGCATACCCTTGGCAGCGACCAGCAGGACCGACTTGGGATTCTTTTCGCTTTGGAGTTGGATCTGCGGCGCACACAGCCGCAGGTGATAGCTGTTCTGCGGCGTGAACTGCGGGGAAATATTATCCCCGGAGTCATCAGACCCGACAGGCGATGGCGATGGCGGTGATGACGACGACGACTCTTCTCCTTCTTCTTCATCTGCATCGACGAACCGTTTCGCATCACTCAGAAGCTGCTCGATGCGATCCTCCACGTTTTCATCATCCGCGCCACTGTCGCCCGGTTTCCGGTCCTCCGATGCCCGGCGCGCCGAATCGTGGTAGGTCTGCGACGGTTTACGCTTGTTCCTGCTCTGCTCGTCGACAATGTCGAGGATGAATTTCACCGCCCGGCGAGACATGTAATAGACAAAGCCGCGGCGCTGGCTGACCTGATGACTGTAGCGCAAGATGATATTGCGGAGGGAGTTGTTCCACTTGAGCTGCAGGTTGTGGATCATGAACCGGTTGTTGAAGTCGCTGGCGTATTCGTCATTGGGGGACGAGTACAGCCCGTCCATGTCCGCCTCCCGACTATCACTGTTGGAATCCGAGTCGGTGCCCACCCGAGACGACGCATCGTTCCACGGGGATGACGATTCTTTCCTGGAACCCCCGCGAGTCCGTTCTTCGCGCGCAAGCTGCCTCTCCAGGCGCCACAGCCCGGTCGTTAGGAAGTTCTTACGTCTCGTCAGCGACTCGGCCTGGCGCACAAACAGCGCATGTTGCTTCTTCAATTCTGGGTCGTTGTCAACGTCGCCCGCCATCCGGAGCTCCTGCTCCCCGATGGCCAAATCATAGTTTCGGATCTGCGTCTCGACAGTGGCGAGCCGGTCTTGGATCAGTGCGATCTGCACTCGGCGCGGATCGTTGGTCTCCGTCATGACACACTCGTGCGTCGGCTCGCCGCCGAAATAGCTGAATCCGCTCTCGTCGGGGTTTGTCTGGCCGTGGTCCGTCTGGCGGAAGTAGGTGAACCGGGGGGTAAAGGCGAGCGGAAGGATCTGCGTTCGAGGGTTCGACTCCTGCGGAAGGATCCAGTCCAGCTCGACGAAATCGTCCATATCGATCCAATCGAGGTTTTGATCGGGAATGGTGAACCGCGAAAGGTCGACCGAAGGGGTCGGCTGCTGGAACGACGAGATCATCCCTTCCACGTTCTTCTCCACATCCGCGAGGTTGGTTCCTTCGATGCTCGCCGAGACGGCGCGGAAATCTGCAGCCTGCAGGTCCAACTGGGCCTGGTTGATTCTCATCACGCTGGCCTTGGACTGTTTCAAGCGGCCCTTGCCTTGGGTCTTGATCTGCTCTCGTCGCTGGTGCACGTCGAGCTTGAGACTGTCCAAGCGGACTTTGAGACCTGTGGCTGTCACGACGTCCTCGGCATAGTCCTCGCGGTCTTTGTGCTTGTAGACGTGAGCGACAAACAGCGGAGCAAGGAGAAGTTTGTATTTGACGGTCGCCAGATGGCGATTGAACTTCTTGCTCGTCTTGGTGATGCCCGGCCAGAGACGGCCCTGGCGGACCGGTAGCGACATCACGCCCGAGAAAAGGGACCACCAGTTGAAGAAATGGGTAAAAAAACGAGGCGTTAGATGGACCGTGTTGTAGCTTGAGGACGATTGGCTACTATCGACGGCCCAGTCCCTGGTCTCCGGAGCAATCACGGCGACTGACAAATGGATGTGATTGCTGCGGAAGCCTCGATATGCGTCGTAATCCTGAAAAAGTCCAGTTAGTGAATGCATGCCTAGAAGCTGCAGGCCTAGACTAGAGACTTACCTTTCTCTGAGCCTCGTCGACAAAGTTGGGATTCCGCAGGACGACTTCATAATGCGGTCTAAAGTCAAAAGACCGCTTCTCCCCATCCATGCTACGCTCAAAGACCAAGCCCGCAGCCCAGCGGACATCTCCGGACAACTTCATGACCACTTTCTTGAAACAAGCGGCATTCTTCAAGTCGCTAGAGATGGAGCTGCTCTCACTCTCTTCCCACGGAGACTGATAGATATGTCGTGCCTGGCTGCTATAGTCCGGAACAGCCAACACGTATTCTCCGCTGGTAACACTCATAAACTCTTTGGGATCGTCACTGGTGTGGATGTTCCATTTCACATCTTTGCGCCAGCACATGACAAAGCCGGCTCCAAATCCAGTAATGACATATGGATCACGAGAGCCTTGAAAACACATCAGTAACACATCAGTAGACATAATCTAGTTAAAAAAAGATGAACCTACCCTTCAAGCGAAGATGGACATCTCCGTCCTCTTTCCAAATCACCCTCAGGCGGGAATGGAAGCTTAAGCGAATCTTGTCCCAGAAGCCGACTCGTTCGGACAGGTCGATTTCGGGCTTTGTGAAGCCCTCGATGATCTTCATCATGTCCTGGATGACTGGCTGGTACGACATACTCCAGGAGATACTGGTGGGTAGACTAGTGTGGATCTCGATCGTCGGATCAGAGTATGTCTTGACGGGCGAAACCGATCGCCAGATGTCGAGCTTGAAGGACGGACTGGTGGACCCGTCGGGCAGTTCGCTCGAGGGAACAAGCTCGAGCTTGACTTGTCGCGCGGACTGTCGATCACGGTACTCCTCGGCGATCACAAAATTGGTGCGGAGCGACCAGCTGGGTAGTTTCGGCGACTGGCCTGACCGAAGAGCAGGGATATGCAGCAGGTCGAGGGGATAATCTCTGAGAGTAACGCGCGCTTCGCCCATGTTCAGTTGGATGCTCATGGGCACGAGCAACGCGTATTGCATGTCCATGGGCATGCCCTTGCCGATCTTGTGGAGGAAAGTGGCATATTCTTCGATGGGGAAGGCGGGCCTATCCACGACAAGATTCAGGTCGTTAATCAGAGCCGAGAGGAGACCTGGTCTGTTGGGGATGGCAAGAATCGTCTCTGAGTCCGGTGCATCGTCCGGTGGCTCATCTGCGCCGGCAAACATGTTGCGGAGTTCCCGGATCGATGTCCCCTGGAAGTGCAGCGCCGCATCGATCTTCTGTTTCCAGGTCTGGGCGTTGTGCTCTTGGAGCCGATACCAGGCAACCTCCATCGAGACCTTGGAATCCGATGTCAGACACGTCGAGCCCTCGGCGTCGTAGCGAAGTTTTCTCCCCCGCCTGCCGCGGTGATGATGGGGATGATCATGAGGGTGTCGTCTCAAGCCATCGGCGCTCTTGCTCCGCTTGAGCTCCTGGCTATTCCGCTCGCTTCGTAGCGTCCGGTGACTTGATTGTGCTCGGAGGCGCGACGGGCCGCGGCGTTGGCTAGATTCTTTGATCTTCTGAGTCTTCAGTTGGAAAGCCTCTTCTCTGGCTAGCCGGTGCACTTGCTCGATCAAGCCGGTTCGGTAGATACAGCCCAGTTTCCACTCAAAGGCATCGTCCTCCAATTCAAACAGCAGGGCTTTGCTCCGCAGCGACACCTTGGGTACTATCTTCGGTGCTTCCGGGTCCCTTTCCGAAACAAACTCGCTCGAGCGGGTCTTGAATCGATGATGAAGTTGCTTTAGGGCCTTGGTGGTGTTGATGATGTTATCAAAGACACGGTGCATCACCAAATGATGCGGGACACCCACGCGAATGAAGTCGGTCCAGATGTCAATGGACTTCTCCTCGTGGATGTTGAGCCCTTGCTTTAGTCTGATCTTGCGCAGGTCCAGCCGCACATTGTTCATGTTCACCAACCGCGCCCAAACACCTTTCAGCTTGGGAGCTTCCGCGTGTAGCCGGACCAGTTGGGCCCTCATGAACGGGGTGGACAGGCGATGGTGGCCGGCCGTCAACCCGTAGATCTGCAGCATCAGCGGAGGGTCAGCAGGGAGGAAGGCCTTGACCTGCACGACCGTCACTCTCACGTCAACAGTGATGAGCTCCTTCCTCTGTATCGGTGATAAGGTGGGAGATTGAATCGGAGATCCCGGCAAAGAATCGCACGGGGAAGAGGGATCAGCGGTCGGGCTTTGGAGATCCGCTGAACGCCGCATAAACGCATCTTGCAGCACCGAGATTGCAACTCCAAGGCAGTAATACCTGTACAGAGAATACTGCAAGAAAAGACCTTTGACCACGGAATTGATGTGCGACATGGGCCCGATGCGATCACTCATGGTGCTGAATGCCACTTCGAATCGGGGGAGGGAGATGAATGCTTCTGGTTCCAGGTAGTCTTCCGATTCGATGACAAACCCTTCAAATCCACGGCCATGGAATGCCAGCCGCCGTCCATCCGTGAGACCATGTTGTGATTTCCGGGGAGGCGAGGTGGGAGGGAAGCGGAAGGGCGACTCGTCTCCAATGGTTGAATGGCTGGGCGTGCGCCGTCTGGCAAAGGAGGAAACGGTGGTCTGCTCTGTCTTTTGCGCGCGGTAGTCTGCTGTCCAGGACTGAAGCTGCAGCGAGACTCCCCTAGACAGGCCCGAGACGCTCGCGTCCACCCCTGCGATCTCCAGACTGCAGCCCGTGGCCTCGAACTGAAAGCGCAGCAACCAGGGTGGAAGATGGCGGAGAGGGCTGGTTTTGCGTTCGTCGAGCGCAAGGGACCTCCTCTTCTTGGGCTGCATATGTGCCTGGAACTGCTCGACAACCTGACGAATCCCGCGATTGACTTCGCCATTCACCATGTGGGCTGCGCAGCTAGTCATGGTTCCGGAGGCAATCACATTGACTTCCGGGCATGCATTTAAGAGAACTTTGAATTCCAAATTTTCAGTGGTCAGCAGGTTATGTTTGACGCCTGATGTTGTCTGGTAGTAGAAATGGTGTGACGCGACCCGGTAGATCGACGAAAGAGAGTAGTGAGCGCCACCCTCGGAAGAGTGGGAGGATTCTATATCAAGCGATATTGATGAGATGGAGGAAATAAGGAGGTTGTAGTCTTCCTCTTCTTCTTCTTCGTCGTCGGGAGATCCGGAGCCATTAGATATCGGAAGCACGAAGCGAATGACGGGTTCATGTACAGAGAGCTTGATGTTTGCTTTTGGTAGGAGACGAGAGATGATATGGTTCTTATCACGCTTCTTGCCCCGCGGAGAGGGGGAGGAGGAGGAGGAGGAGGCAGCCGCCTTGGATTGCACCACGCGGAGAAGTCGAGAGACGTGTTGAGGTTCGAGGTCGAGGGAAGGGGAAGTGATGACAAGATTGCCGAAGAAGACATTGGTGTTTCGCTCCTCCGGGTTGTACTCATCGAAGGAGCTCACCGTCTTGGAAGGGAGGGTGGTCTTGATGGTGGTCGTGGCCATGGGGATGTAGAGGATGTTGTCGGTTTCGCCCGAGCTATCGTCCAGGCTGACGGAGAGCGAGATGGCGGCCAACAGGGCTTGGTGGGCGACATCGTTACGTTGGAAGTACATGCGGTGAGCGGGACTGTTCTGGTCCATGCGGTGGAGGTCGATACCGAGCTCATGGGAGATGACATTCAAGTAGACCGAGTTCTGGTCGGCAGAGAGCGACTGCAGCGGGCGCGACAGCCTGAAGAAGCTCAGAGCGACCTGGAACTCCTGGATGCCACGGAGCAGCGAGCTGAGAAACTCTTTGGAATCTGCCACAGCCTGGACAATGGCGTCATCCCGGTTGCCCGGTCGGTCCTCCTCGTCCTCGACATGTTTGGGGAGTAAGATCTCGTCGTCGGTGTCCGGGGTGGCGTCTAGAGGGCAAGAGGAGGCCCGCCGGGGAGGCTTCTGGACTCTCTGGACCAGCAGTCGGAGATCATCGTAGGGGACATGCATGCGACCGATCTTGACGGAGACGGAGGCATCTCGGAGACCGTCGAGATCCTTGAAGAGCATGCCATGGATGTTGATCCCCACGTAGTCGAGTAACTCTGTCGACTCGCGGCCATCGACGGCGAGATGGACATTCCGGACATTCATGGACCATTCGGCAGGCCGGTGTTCGCGCGACTTGTCCTCCTTGCGACGGAACATTTGACCCCGGTCCACCATCTTACGCCTGGTATCCACGGCGAGAAACATCGAACCGATCTGGATCTGGCCGGCGTCAACCAACTGGACGGTGGTGTTGACGGCGAGCACATCCACCAGGGTCAACCAATTGATCAGGCGATGCAGTAGCTTGACCCTCTCCTTGACCTTCGTCAACGTCCTCCATGTCTTGCTACGCGACTCGGCGGCCGTGGGCGACCCATCCCCATCGGAGGAGGCATCCTGGTTCGATCCCCGGTCTCCTTCCTCTCCTTTGTCTTCTTCTCTTCCCTTGCGCACTCTGGGTCTCCGCTGGCTGAGCACGGCTGGGTCCAGCTTGATCTTGAGCTCGGTCAGCTTGAGACTGATCCATGTAGGTTGGGCAAAGGACGGCGGGTGCAACGACAGGCCGAGTCCACGGATTTCGATCTGCACGCCTTCTCGGGGGGTGTAGGCGATCCGACGGAGGGAGAAGTAACCGATACGCTGGATGGAGACGCCCGTTGCAATGCGCACGACAGCAAACACGAGGAAGGAGGCAAGGTAAAGGAGCACAAAGCCCCCGAGCACCGTGGTCGGGTTGAGAAGAGTCATCGTCATCGTCGTCGTCGTCGTCGTCGTCGTCGTTGTCGTTGTCGTTGTCGTCGCGGGCGATCTGGAAGCAGCGGCACGCAACGACGGACCATCGAGTCGAGATCAACCACCTCCTCCGTTGGCCTTACTGGCCGTGATGGAACCGTGTCAACAAAGAATGTCACTCGACGTCTTCTGGTTCTTGTCGCCACTGCATCTGCTGTGATCTGCCCGGTCCAGTCTGCACCCGATACGGGGGCCAAGACCTGGGGAGGGAGAGGGAGGGAGAGAGAGAAAGAAAGAGAGAGAGATAACGTCAGCTGTCCTTAAGCGGATCAGGAACAGGCACCGGATTGCAGCAAGACGACAGATTGTAGCCCATTCATGCTTCTCATATACAGAGAGAGAGGAAGGGAGGAGAAATCAATTAATTAAAACAATCATGACCAGAATCCAGACCGGATTAAGACGACAGGCGGACAGGAGACTCGGAACAGCAGAAGGCGGCCCGTGGGAAGGAATTCTCCTAAGCCGGGCACGGACTCGCATTGGATTTGTGCATGGTAAACATTATATCATTTTTAGAGAGATATCTAGTTGATAGATATATAATTAGAGAAGAGGTTAATTCTTCTAGTGAGACTGTATTTAACAATATTTATTATTTATTTTTTACTCCAGTAAGTATTCTCTTTTGTAGAGAAGAAATGTATAGTTGACAATTAACAGGTAGTTAACTAAGAACCATCTATACTAACAATCACTAACAATCACTAATAATCACTAATAATCACTAGTGATTACTAGATGCTAATAATGATCTGTAGGATAATTATTACCTGATAATTATGACTGTGAAGTTTAGTATAGTTGATATTAGTAGATTACACATCTCAAAATTAATAAGTAATGATAGTTCTATACATATAGATTATACACTATTGAGCCCCATCAGCACTGGAATCCTTGATTCTCTGGAGCTCGGCGATCCGGTCGTCGACAAGAGCAATCTCGGCCTCGATGCCCAGCAGCTTCTCCCTCAGAATGCCCTTGTAGTCGTCGTCCGACAGCGATCGTAGCGGGATCCATTTCGAGTCTGCGAGTCGCTGCAGGAAGGGCTTGGAGGGAACGTGGGCCCGTTCCATCTGCCACCGGTCCACGGCATAAAAGGATTTCTGTCCAAGATATCCAAGAAGGGAAAAGATGACGACTCCTGGCACGAGTCGGCCTCCTGGTTCTCAAGTTAGCAGTCGCCCTTTTGAAAGGCTCAGTCGTGTATGGGAATATATACCCATCAGTCTCGTCACACCTCCCCCGGCAATACCACCGGAGAGCGCACTGGTGTACGCTCGCTGCTGCTCGGTGGCCTTGTCATCATAGTGGAGTTTAAGAATATTGCTTCTTAACCCTATACACGTCAATACGGCGAGGTCTTGCACAGAAAATCCACTCTATAGTAAGAGAGCTCTTACACCAGAATGCTGTTCCACACGCAAACCAATGTATTCCACACGACACCGAGTGAATGACCGGATGAGGAGACCTGATCACACCGGCAACACCCCCGTAGACTAGACCAGCAGCCCCTGAAAACCCGTCAGCATGAAGCCTGGATGATCTCTTGGATTGAGAACGTAGATTGAAAGCAGAGACGAACCGCTCACTGAACCTACTTGCAGTGCTGGTCTCGGCCCAGTCGAGTCGGAACCTACATCCTCGTCGCCCCTATCGCTCATGCTTGCGAAGTTACAGGGGCAAATCTCGGCTGGCAGGAGGGAGGGGGAGGAGGGGAGTCTCTCTTGCAAGAGAGAGAGGGAGACACCAACGGTGATAGTCTGGCTTATGTAAGCGGCTGGTCGCTGAAAACTTCGATTAACTCGTCCAAGAGATCTTCGGTTATCGATCGTAAGGAGGAATAATCTTACTACTAGGTATTTAATATTAATCTTACTATCTACTATCGTTCTGGTCCAGTGCTCGAAGACAGGTACTTACTACCTAGGTACAGAGTCTGTAACTACCTGATAACTAACTATTAATTAACTCAGTATGGAGTACCAGGACCTAGGTACCTTGTTATACAGGCACTTCTATCACCTATAGGTACTGCCTAGTACTACTAACTAGGTACTAGGTACGATACGTATTGCTTATTGTATTGAAGTATTCTATTGTATGCCATTTGTTCTGTGGTCGGTGTCAAATGCACTCGCCACTGCAGACAAGACTGAATGGCATAATTGCAACAAATAAATATAGCAGGAAATAGTATTATCACATTACTCCCTCATACCAGCTGTCTAGTAGTCATTCACCAGTTATTATTATTCCTTGTTCCCTAGATCGAATCCCGAATAATATCTTTCTCAGACCCGCAAAAACCCTCGGGTGGTCGAGCCGCACACCATGCCTGAGGCTGACTTTTCTAGCGTCATCCCTAAAAATTATCCTCACGGAGAAACGACGGGGCCCTTTTCGAACCTGCTTCCACCCCTCTGCTCGTCCACTGCGGAGCACCACCATCACTTCTCGCCTCCTCGACGTTCGCACTCTTGCTGCCCGTCGACCCCTTCCTCTGTCTTCCCCCTCTCCATCCAAGCGAACGCGCACAAGAACCCCCCTTGGCGCGTTTCCCCCCCCCCAAAATTAACAACCGCAATCATGGGTGCGTTCCCCCTCACCAGGGTTTGGAGGCTCTAGCGCCTATTCATTTCCCCCCCTGCTCGATCTAGATGGCCCTCATACTGACCGGATCGTGTTGTTCCAGCGCCCAAACAGAAAGCCCAGAAGATGTCTCTGGGGAATTTCTTGGCCGACGAGAGTAGGTGGCACTGTGGCAGCCCTCCCCTAGCCTCTCGGCGCTAACTGGGGAAAAAAAAACAGGTCTCGGCTCGTGGGCGGATGAAATGGAGGATATGCCTATGCCTGGTATGTGTTTCGCTGAATGTATCAGACAATGTTTGAGATGACTGACACTTTTGTGTGTGTGTGCTGCAGCTGGTGTGTGCCTGGTGTAAAATTAAACCACCCCTTGGGATATATATCTAACAGTCCGCTTAGCTCCCGCTCAGTCCGGCTATGGCATGGAACGCCGTTCTATGGGCCTTTCGGCTGGCTTCGGCAATGGTTTCCCCGGTATGCAAAGACCCTGTCGACTTTTGTCTCTCTCTTTTATGCTGATGTGAATGAACCCTTGCAGAACGTGACCGTGCCGGGTACGCCATCCGTGAGCCGCTGCCCCTGCCCACCCAGCCGCCGTATACCGCCCATATCGGAAACCTCGCCTTCGATGCCACTTCGGACGACATTTCGGGCCTCTTTGCTGACTGCGGCGTCACTAACGTCCGCGTCGTCGAGGACAAGTTGACAAGGAGTCCCAAGGGATTTGGTTACGTCGAGTTCGCCACCGTCGATGGCTTGAAGAAGGCTCTGGACTTGTCCGGAGCGACATTGGGAGGAAGATCGATCAGAGTCAGCGTTGCGGATCCCCGTAAGCTCTATCTATTTTTTGTTTTTTTTCTAATCTTGTCTTTTGTATGTCTTACTGACCCCAGCAGCCAAGGACCGCCCAGATGTCAAGGAATTCGACTGGACCCGGAAAGGTCCCCTCCCGGATGCCCCCCAGCGTCGTGGCTCTGATCGTCCCGGAGGCTTCGGTCGCAACTTCAACGATAACCTCTCAGATGCAGGCAGTGAGCGCGCCAGCGGACGTCGCAGCAACTTTGAATCGGACGGCAAGGTCCGCGATTTCGGCAACTGGGAGCGCAAGGGCCCGCTTTCGCCCACTGGCGCTGGTCCCGCCCGCGATCCCGCCCGTGACCCTGCCCGTGATCCCGCTCGCGAGGGCCGTTCTCGCCACGCTGATGGTCCTGGTTTCCGGAGGAACTCTCCTGCCTGGGGAGAGGGTCGCTCGCAGGACGGCTCGAGGCCTCCTCGTCGTGACCGTGAGGTCCACGAACGCGCCCCGACCGCCGCCGACCTGGACAACGAGTGGCGCGCCAGAATGCGCCCCGACCAAGCACCCCCGGCTGCCAAGGAGCCCAGCAACCCTCCTTCTCCCGCGGCCGCCCCCGCGGCCCCGGTGACCCGTCCCAGGCTGAACCTGCAGAAACGCACCGTCTCCGAGGCAGCTCCCGCCGGCGGTGAAACCAAGTCGAGCATCTTCGGCGGCGCCAAGCCTATCGACACCGCTGCCCGCGAGCGGGAGGTCGAGGAGAAGCGCCAGCTGGCTGTCCGTCAGAAGAAGGAGGCTGACGACCGGGCCAAGTCCGACAAGGCCGAGAAGCAGCGCAGCCAAAAGGACCAGGCCAAGCCCACCACCGCCGGTGACCCCAACGGCAAGGATGCCGTCGACACCCCGCAGGGTGGCAAGAACTTTGATATCCTCCGGCAGGCCGGTGAGGACGAGAGCGCCGCAACTGCAGAGCAGGAGACGGAAGGGCAGGAAGATGAATCTGGCGAGACCAAGGCGGTCGCCCCCGCTGCCGACGCCCCCGCCGCTGCTGCCCCGGCTACTGCTGCTCCCCAAGGCAAGGCCAACGGAAACTGGAGAAGCGCTCCTGAGCCCGCCGCCGCATCAGCAGACGAGGAGGGCTGGAGCACGGTGGGTTCAAGACAGCGCAACAACCGTCGCGGACAGTCCGGTCGCGGCTTTGCATAGATCAGTCGCGAAGGTCAAGTCCTTTCGTGGCCGCTTCATCTTTACCGGTGGCAGCAGAGAAGCGTGTTCCCTACGGAAGAGACACTCCAGAAAGACACGCGTCCGTTGCTGAAGGCTTTTTATCCGGCAAGAAAATTGCGTTTCCTGAAAACACATGACAACGACAGGAAACTCCTGCAATCAACTCGATGAGAATTTACCCTCTCTGGATAAATCTCTCATACACGCTGAAACGGAGATATGGCCTTGGTTAATGTGTTGACGGTCCCCTTCTCTTCCCCCCC